GGCACATGTTAAGAACTAAATTAAGAAATATCATCTTGGAAATTGTGTACAAACTTAAATTAAAGTATAAAATTAATTTTTAAATTGTTTTTTCCAATACATATTTACTAAAAGTGGTTTCCTTAACATGTGCCCCAAGGGCACAAGTTAACATTACCCTATAATTAATTAAGAAGATATTTGTAAAGATTAAATATATTAAATGAGGATTAATTTTTTTAAGACTTAAATGAATAAAAGTTTTGCAACGAAAGACGGAACGAACACAACCCAAGGTGTGCGTCTCGAGAGTGTTCGTTCAAGGATCCAAAGGGTACTAGACCCTAAGAATCCACTCCTTTCATTATTTAATTAGGAAAAAAATTAGGGTAATGTTAACTTGTGCCCTTGGGGCACATGTTAAGGAAACCACTTTTAGTAAATATGTATTGGAAAAAACAATTTAAAAATTAATTTTATACTTTAATTTAAGTTTGTACACAATTTCCAAGATGATATTTCTTAATTTAGTTCTTAACATGTGCCCCAAGGGCACAAGTTAACATTACCCTTAATTTTAAAGTCATAATTATTTCAAGTAATGCTTCTAAATCTTTTCCTTAATTAAATGTTGGAGGTAGTGGGTTTTTTGGAGTCTAGCACTCTTTTAATCCTTGAACGAATTCTCTTGAGACGCATGCTTTGGGTTGTGTTCGTTTCGTCCTCCAAATTTAAGATACTTAACTCTTTTCAAAATTTTTAAACCGCAAACCTTAATTCAAGTAAAAAGTTTAACCTAACTTTCTCAAAAGATATTTTCTTAATTAATAATGGAGATATTGAATTCTTGAAGTCTAGCACTTATTGGACTCTTAAAAGATTGCTCTTGAGGCGCACTCCTTGGGTTGTGATCATTTCGATCTTTCATTTCTAAAACACTCAATTCATTCAAAATACTTAATGCGTCTAATCAAAATACCCTAATCATATTAAATTTTCCTAATTAAATTACAAAAGAACCGAGTTCTTGGAGTCTCACATTCCTTGGATTCTTGAGTGAGCGCTCTTGGGATGCACACCTTGGATTGTGGGTTGTTCGACCTTTCGTTCCTAAAATACTTGCCCTAATTATTTGGACATAGTCGTTCATTGTCCAACAAACACATTTCGTAATTAATTGAATGGAAATGATGTCATTGGGATCTAAAATTTCAATAATACCCCGATTAATTGGTTGCGAGACCGACGTCTCGTTTATCGAATAATCGTCGTTCTCCCTTAAAATACTTAACTAGACAAACTTCATTTTCTCGCTCTCCTACGATCGAAACCCTAAAACCTACACAAGTTAAACTCTTTTCTCACTTAAAACCCTAATACACTTTAACATATTCAAACCACTTTTCGCAAAGAACATTGTTTAATTCCTTCTTTCGCGAATATAAACTCGTGCTTCAGCCTCCCTTAGCGAGCAGACAAGTCAATGTTTAGCAGTTAGAATGCGACCTAAACACTCGTTCTTTTAAAATACCTTCAACCGTAGTCCCACGAACTACGATGCTCTGACTTTCCCATTGCACGAGGGGGTACGTAGGCACAAGGACCCCAATCCTTAGCGAGCACGCTAATAAAAACCATCAATTTCCCCCTTAGAATCGAATCTTTAGAAGAAAACAAACAGCCTAGTTAACTTTTTTCTCAGATTGAATCAAGAGGTTCTCGTTGATTACAACGGACGTAAAGGGTGCTAATACCTTCCCTTTGCGTAATCGACTCCCGAACCTAGCATCATTGGCGACTCAGTTCGAACGTTTTTTCTACGTCCATCGCGAGGATCGTATTTTTCAAGGTACGACACAAATGCTTCAACATCAAATGAAGTTTGTCCAAATGAGGTTCATGAGGGTCTAACTTTCTCCTTGCAAACGGAAGCGTGTTAGGTCACTCTACCATGTATCATTCTTTCTTGGTTTTCATATATTTTTACTATAATCAAAGAAGAAAAATCATGTCATAACTAAAGAAAGTATTGACAAACTGAATAAGAAAATAGAAAACAGATAAATCCCGATTTTGTTAGCTGGATAAGTTTGAACTTCAAAATTCATACTGGATGAAACCAGCAAACACGAAGCATAAATAAAGCATGCACGAACCCTAAGCTCAAATTTTCAAATTTTCAAAGTAAGGCAGTCCAGGACCAACAAATATGACATATTTATTGCATTTAACCATAATGTATCATACATATAAACTATTTAGGTAATGCATGTATGCCAAATAAAAAAAGGTAAAGAAATGAGTAACTTGCCAAATGTTTGGTTTGATCTTGGATTGGCTGTAGTGTAGCGCAGTAGAACTTCAAATATGTTCTAACTTCAATGTAATGGAGTAGAAGTTCTGAGAAAACTTGGGAAATGTTGGAACAAGAGTATACTCACGAGTTTTGTTTGCTTTGATTTTCTATGTTTTTTGAAATGAAAAAGGGAAGGAAGAGGGAAAGGTCTGAAGGCAAATATGTAATTAAAAGTGTTCATATTCCAATCTCTTTAGAAATTTTGGACATTGAAATTTGTTTTTTTAAATGTGTTAGTGTGGTTCTGAGATTGGGCATAAGTGTAGTGTGTTGATGCGTGTTCCAAGTTTAATCTTCGTAACTTACTAATTTGGATTTCAAAGTCTATATTTTCTTAAAACTTGTTTTGTCATGTTCTAGAGTGAATTTGTTGTGTATTTAATGTTCGAATTTTAAAATCTTAACTCTAGGAGTATTTTTTAAATCTTAATTCTAGGGGTATTTTTAAAATTTCAACAAAACGTGTAAATAAGTCATGAAATGTATTCAACAATTTCTTATATTATGCCTAATTATGTTGTTTACACACTTGATTAAAAGATTTCTTATTAGCATAACTATTTTTATTATGGTACAAACTAACTCATCTAGAGATTGTGTGTTTTAGATTACTAAATAATGATTTTAAGATCAAAAAATCTAATTTTTTCTATGAAAGATAAACCCTATAAGAAAAATGTGCTCCAGCCACGTGATATAACCATGTGTAATTCACGTCACTAAAAAATGCATTAGTCACGTAAAACCCGCGTCACAATAGTGAAATAATAATTAAAAATTAAACTTCATCCGATGAATTAAAAAATGGGTGAAAGCTTTTTAGTGACGTGAGAAACACATCAATCGTAAAAATATAAAATAATAAAAAAATGAAATGCAGCTTTTCATATGAGAGAAAATTTAAAATTTCCAAAAAATAAGTAGTAACGTTTAATACACGTTGCTAGTTGGTTTTAAAAAATTAAAAAGTTTAGGTGAGAAATGTCTAGCATTTTCTTATTGATATACATGGGGTGCAGAAAGTCTGACATTTTTTTTACCGTTCTCAAATTTAGTGAGGTGGTATTCGCGTCGCAATAAATTTCAAATTTGTGACATTAATATCACATCACGATATATGATCGTTCTGACATGCAACGAATTTTGAAGTTTAGTGAGGTGAATTAGATATTTCAATTAAGTTTAAATTAGTGACATGAGATTCACGTCGCAACTCTCAACTGTCACTTTAGTTACGACGTGTTTTCTCCATCGTTGTAGCGTATATATATTAGACAGCTTGAAGCATCCCCCAATATCCATAATCATTTGTTTCTTTTTCTTGTCTTCTTCTCTCAATTCCTCTCTGTTCCTCCTCTGTTTAATATATTTGTTTATAAGTCATATTTTTATTTAAGTAATATTTTTATTTTTATTTTTAATATATTTTAATGATTATAATTATTTAAAAATTTGATTTGTATAATAGAAAATTATTTCAATTTTGCATTTTATTATTTACTAATTAACTTTTATTCATTATTAATTTTTATATTTTTTTAAATTACAAAAAAAATTACAATTTATTTATTTATTAAATAATTAATCTGCGAAATACAAATCATGTGACTATTATATTGGGAAAAAAAACTCATTAGTGATATGATATTCGCGTCACTAAATTATTGTGTTACGGCCTAAAAAAGTTGTCATAATTTAATGACATGATTATCACGTGGCAATAGGGATAAATAATTTTATATATTGCGACATGATAATTATGTCACAATTTAGTGATTAGATTTTCAAATATTACTATGGGTGCTCCAGCTTATTTTACTTTGTGACGTGATATTAATGTTAATGGTGTGATTTTCATGTGACTATGGGCTATATTTTAACTTTTGAAGAGATTCATTATGGTGCTACTCAAGTTAAGGAATAAGTCTGAGATCTATATAATTAACATGCAAATGATATCTAATTTACACAAACTAATAATAAAAAATCTTTAAAGTAGTTTCTATTCTTAAGAAAAAGTGATTTTTCTGTTAAGTGATTAATATATTAGTCTAGACTTAAATAAATACAAAAAAGTAAATCTACTAATCCATATTTTAACCTATTACATAAACATTATCCACAATAATGGTTTGTTATGTAGATGTTTCTTTTTAATTACAATATAGGTGGTTTTTCTAGTTTTAAGGCTTTTGTGAATAATTTTCATTCAAAGTAATACTATATATTAAAAGGAGTTGAAAACAAAAAAGATGACACCATTAACGCCGGTTTCATGTGAAAAGGATAAATGGGGGAATGAATGATTATATCCTGTAATTTGTGCCTGATCAAGAAAACGCAATCTACTGTCAGCGCCTTCTTAATTTCAATCTAATTGTAACATTTGCAGCTAAGAGTATATATTATCCAACAACAACTGCACGATGTTCCCGAGAATGAACATAGCATCACCTTTTGCATAAAACAACTTTACCATTGAGAATCCTTAAAACTCTGCAGATACTACACATATGAGGATTCCACAGAATGAATATGCAAACACTTGATGTATGGAATGAAACAGAGTGCTTCGTTAATGTGTTTTCTCCCACCGGCTTCAAATGACTCCATTTCTCACCTATTTATCATTGCAGGTCAAAATTGATGAGGAGAGACAAAAAAATCACGAAGTCCATGAATTTGATCTCTTGTGCACAGACTGCTTTAGCTGTCTGTCTTCTTCAAGTGCTATGATACCTAAATGTGAAGGGTCATCAAGCATCATCCTAGCCACCAAGTAACCAGCAATAGACCATGTTTGGCATTTTCGAGCCTGCTTCCCAATGTATCGACCATGCGTTCCATCGTAATATTCAGGCCAGTTATCTTTTAGCAATCTGGCCTCAGCAATTTGTAGGGCACGTTTTGCAATTTGGGGTCGCCCCGTTTTGATGGCCGCCGCAGACAAAAACCATAACATAACTGTGAACACCATAACCAAAATCACAACCATATTAAAAAAAATCCAATACTAAAAGTGTTCAAAATATAAAGTGGAAATTTCAATGTCTTTTATCTGGCTTTAGAGTATCCCTGGTTTGGAGACAAGCTATTAGTCTTTTATCACAATGGCATGATTTTGTTGAAACTACATAGTATATAGTTTTTATCTAAGTCACGATGATACATCGTAATTCTGTTAAACTTACGGTTAATCCAAACATGCACTCATCATCTACATCTATTATATTATTCCTATGTTTCTACTGCATTTGTTTAATGATGAAATGTAGTTTTCTTTACCTCAAAAGTGGTGTATTTTTATTAATGATTTACACACACACACACACACTTGTTCTATGAAATTAAGAATGGTAGCATGAATACCTGGCCAAGATCCCCCATTGTGGTAACTCCATCTAGTATTTTTTGGGTCACATCCTGTTATGATTCTCCATTCATGGGTTTCAAGGGCTGGATAACAAACTTTGACAGGCATATCCCCAATTAGTTCCTCCCACCGTGATTCAATGAGATCCATGATTGCAACTGACTGCTCAGGAGTTGCCAAGCAGGACAAAATTGCAATGCAATTACCAAGGCAAAACCAGCGGAAATCCATCCTAGCTGGACTCACATTCCCAATAAAGTATCCACCGTGATGAGGCATGAAATCAAAAATCCAATCTGGTAAAGAATCTGGAATAACATTGAACTTGTTCACTGCAGTATGTGAGTACTCTTCTGTTTTGAAGCGATATATATCATTAAGTTGCTTCAAATCCAACCAAAAGTGGCTTCTCATATGATAGCTTAAGGCATGCAAGCGTTTTATAATTCGTTCCATAAACTCTTTCCCTTCAGGATCTGGCTTAAGCAATTGCAAGGCACATCTTAAAGACATGAAGAACAATGCTTGAATTTCAATTGGATACCCATAAACACCCTGAAATCATGAAATAAAAAATGAAGTAAGAAATGGAGAAATTAACCCCTGGGAATAAAAGTCATAGTAAATCATCTGTCAGCGCCTACATCTAGAATAACTCTGCTAGATTGTCTAGCATAAAAACAGATTGTATGTTTGAGTGTGATTTTTGCACAGGATTGAAGTCATTTATATATAAATCTAAAATGTTATGAAAATATAGAACAATAATCTTATCCTATAATCAATGCCTATTTTCAAGACAGTAGATTATGTATAAAGTTCAGAAAGCTCACCATTCTACGATCAATCATACAGCACCCATCAGCACATAGTAATGTTGGAAATGTATCAAAACCCTCTGACAAGCATAAACTCAGAATCAAGCGCATACCCTTTTGACATTCAGGCTGTTCAGCCAAAGAAGAGTCTCCTGTAGATTTCGTGTATGCACGAAGTAATATAATCCACCAAAATCCAGAATCAACAGGAGCAACCCTGCCTATTGCACTTTCACCAAAATCTGCTATCAGGGTTTCGCGGTTTCTGACTGGATCATGGAACACCTTAAAACTAGCAGGCATCACCCCTTCTGCCAGCTGAAACCTGTCAATCTTTTTCTCCCATGATTGAAGCCGAAGAGTCTTTAAGAGAAAATTCTTGACAATGTCTGGTTCCCCGTGCATCAAAAAAGCCAAAGCACTTGGAACAAAGTCTCTTACAAAAACCTAGGTACAAATATAATATCCCACATTAGGCCTCCATAGTAAACTCAAAATGATAGATACTATCACAAGAACTATAAGTACAAATCCATAAAAAAGAACATGTTGTAAAATCGTACTCAAAAAAAGGTTACAAACGCATGTTACCTGGTCATAGTTAAGCTTCTCATCAGAATCTTCCATGGCAGCAATTGTCCCAACAGGCTCACCACGAAAACGTACCAAGGAACGCCTCAGAGCTTCCCAAGCTTCAGGCAATATTGAATTAGAGTCCAATATCAATGATCTTGGAGTGTTAAGACCTGATTTTTGTATAGGAGAATCAAGATGATCTCCAAAGCGAGAAAAGATATCAATTTTTGTGGCCAGTAACCGAGGAGAAAGGCCTATTGATAGTTCACTCGTTGATCTTTCATCACATGATCTTTGTCTCTCAATGTTCAAAGTCCTTGGCTTATCTAACACTTTAGAAAAATCAAATTTCTCAGTTTCTGCCACAGGACATAGCGTGTCTAGACTTTTCAAATTTCCATTACTATTGTGATGAGACAAATCTATCCAAGTAGGAGAAGACATCTTCCAGCAAAATCTTAGCACTTGCAGTAGTAGTGCTCAAAATCCTAGTCACAATGTATCTTAAAGTTAATCATATAGAAATAAAATTATCAATTATGTAAAACAAGCCAATGAATTGCTTAATTCCTGGATTAACAACACTTTGTATTGTATTGTATCTTATCTTAAAATTAAAATCAAATTTCCTCGTACATCATCATTCTTTATGCCTTTGTTTGACTTAACTTATTTGAACTTATCTGTTGACATAAGTTATCTGAGATTATTTGCAAAAACTTATGAAAACAGCTTATAATATTATTCGTAAACTGTTTTCAACTTATTTTTACAAGTTCTCCAAAATAACTTATGAAAATATCCTATAACTTATACAAAAACAATTCAACTTTATCTTAATTTTAATATAAAAAAAGTTATCCACTAAAACACAGACTTTGAATACACGGTATTGAGACATCGATTATAATAATAAAAAATAAATAAATTAAATATAATCATAAGTATCATTGTCGGAGGTTTCAGAAACCGAGAGTGACACTGTCACTTTTCTTATATCATTAGAGGTTTCAGAAATCAACACTCCCGACACTTTTCTTATAGAGACGTCGGTGCTACGTAGCTTATACATAAACACTTATGAATAAGTTATTTGTGGAAGCAAGGCCTAAATCCTAAATTCCAATTGACGTGGAGTTGTTCAAACATACATAAAGGTTCACGAAAATGATTATGAACGCCAAATAAGCGCCAACGTTAGAATTCAAGATTCCTAGCGCAAATAACAAAAAATTTATCGTGAAATTAATTTCAACGTAACTTCAAAAGGAGAAATGAAGGACGAAAGTTAGATTTTGCATCACATTGTTTGAATCACGGAAAGAGAAAGTTGAATCTTGGAAGAAAATGTGAATCGGAAAATGAAGATTGTAGATTGAAAAACTAACCGAAGAAAGAAGAAAGCATGAGAGCAGGGTGCGTGTAGGTATGAGATGAGGGTGAATCGTAAATGATAATAATAAAATGCAAAAATGCATGAACTAGTTAATAATGAAATGATAAAAAAATAAAGTAAGGTTGCAGTGACTCACAAAGAAGAAGAAGCACGTGAAGAAGCTCTGTTTTTCCTCGTGAATTGTGAATGTGATTACTTACTACAAAGTGTGGCCCTTTTCTGTTTTATTCTATTCAATCATTCATTTTAGTACTTCTCTCTTTCTTTCTGTTTTATAATTACTGATTATCTAATACTGCACTGTAGATTCAAAATATTATGAGATTAAAATTAGTACCCATCCAATTAAAAATTATTAATTTTAAAATATTATTGTAGTGAGATATTTATATAAAAATTGTAACATGAAAAGTAATATTACAATTTTTATGCATAATAAAAATACATAGTATATATTAAAATTTAAATGAAATATATTAAATCATAATAAAATATATTAAATAAAATCTATGCAATGCAAATAATAGTATACATTAAAATAAAAATGATTTAATGTTGTATTAAATAAATTATTCATTTTAAATTTTTACATATAAAATAGTTATTTGTTTCTCAAGAAATAAGTTATCCAAAATAAAGATTTGTTTTTCAAGTAAAAGTAAATTGATATCTCAATCGTTATCATGTATTGAGTCAAATTACACTCAAATTTTTAAATTAATTACATGACTTAATTGAATGATAAATTTTTATTAGATTATAATGTGAAACTATTTTATATTGTAAATTCACTATCTTTAGTCTTTCAATTATAAATTTTTTATATAAAATTAATAGGAAAAAATGGTAATGCACTCATAGTATAAATATTTTTTATATTATCAACTAATAACAATCATGCATTCTGTCAAATAATAAATAAAAAATTTAAACTAATTATATAATATAGCATAATAATATATTTCTATCGAATGATAATGTAAAACATTTTTACACTATCAGCGTTTAATAATTAAACTCATTATAATATAAAACTATTTTACATTATATATTCACTATCTTTAATCTCTAAATTATAAGTCTTTTATATAAAATTAATATATTTTTTTAATATTTTACCTATTTTTTTTATATATATATATATATATATATATATATATATATATATATATATATATATATATATATATATATATATATATATATATATATATATATATATTATTTTTACTTTTTTAGAAATTCATATAATTTGTGTTTTCTACGTAACTATTTAAGAGATAATATTGTATAATAATTCATAGTTTTTCTTTTTTATATTAAATAATTGGGCTCTTGAAATAGTAAAAGAATTTAAACGCGTCTTATAATTTGGGAAATCTAAATATATAAATTTGAAATTCATCGAATAAATATTGATATTATTAATTTAAATATTGACATTAAATTCAAATTTTAAAAGCACATATAGGTGCAAATTTTCAATGGTTGTTACTACTTTATCTATAAATTAAAATTATATGAATAAACAAATACTGTAATAGTTACTAACTATATAATTTTGAAAGTGATACATATTTTCGGTGATTGTTATTATTTTGAAATTTCTGTTGACATATTATTTAAAGATTGTAATTGTGAAAAGTTAATTAATATCCTATTGAAATATATTTTAAAATTACTTTTATAAATAAATGAATTATTTAAGATTTTTAATTTTGAGTTTAATTTTTACTAACAAAACTTATTTATACTTATATAATAATATAAATGAATTGTTGATATTTATAAAAAGAATTTATAAAAAAAATAAATCAATTTAGATTGGAGTATTATTTTTTTAAAGAGTCCTATTTAGGAATGAATTAAAAACATTCTTTAAAAATTCTTAATAAAAAATTAATTTTTCTAACATTACAATTTTCAATGTCATTAAAAAATTTAATTTCCAATATTTTTGAATATTCTATTAAAATAATAGTTTTTAATATTAAAAAAAATGTCTTTAGAACATCTGAACAAATTTATCAAAAAGAAACAAGTTTTAGTAGTTTTTCCTATAAAAAATTAAAACTTCATTCTAAAAACAAATATATTTTAATTTTTAAAAAGTTGAATGTACTGTTTTCAATATAAAAGTTTATATTAAATTTTTATTATGTGTTTAAATGTACAAGTCAACATATTCTAAAAGAAATTATCTCTTCAAATTATATAAACTTAAAATATATATATATATATATATATATATATATATATATATATATATATATATATATATATATATATATATATATATATATATATATATATATATATATATATATATATATAAAATAATATTATTAAAATATAATAATTTAAGTTTATTGATAAGAACCATTCAATACCTATTTTCAAAGTTGCAAATCAAAATAAAAATACTCACTCGTTTAAATATTTTAATCATTTGATACAAATTAAATAAACCTATATTGTGGACCCAGGATTGCTATGTTGACACTCATTTCTACACCCTACACCTCAATTACTTTTCACAAATACTTGAACAAATTTTCCAGAACATGGTTAACAGTGTGTATTTTATTGGTTAATGAAGTAGTGAAAGTGGTTAATAAATTATAGGTAAAATAATTGGCTAATAATGTAGATTTTTGTAGTTAATGCAACTGTGAAGTTGGTTAATGCACAATCTTATATTTGTGTTATAAAATAAATTTTAAAAATAAATATTTTTTTTAAAAAAATTAATATTTTAAAAAAATATATTATTTTAATAAAAAAATACTGTTCATTGTATAAATACGGTGAATAGTGCATACGGTGTAAGTATTGAGTGTAAAAAAGATGTAGGAATAGTATTTTTTTATTGTGGACCTGATTAACATTTTGATTTTGAAAATGCAATCTTGACGTCAGTATAATTTGACTCACGCTACGTGTCAACTATATAGGATCATATATCAATAGTAATTAAATATATGAAAAAGAAATTCTTATCTAATTATTCATACAATAAATTATTTTTATTTTGAAAATCTCTCGAATCTAAATAATTTAATGAATATTGTAATTAAATATATAAAATTCAATTATGTAAAGTAATTGGTTGAAGATATCATAACCAATTTTTAAAGATGGATAGAAAAGTTGTCACTTAATAAAATTGTGTTAATTTTGATACATATTTTAAAATTTTGAATTTTACTATCCATAACATGAATGAATATGGATATTCTATCGACACTACATTTTCAAAATCACAAATAGGAATCACAAACGAGGATGTATGCTCGATTTAAAATTACTTTTCAAAAGTCTTTATAAAAATAGTGTTAGATCTTATGTTGAGGGTTTGATGTAAAATTTGAATAAGAAGATTAAAATGTTATGATAAAAGTTGTATAAAATAAATTCTAAAGTGTGTGTTTACATTAAACTTTAGATTCAATTCGCCTCACCAATTTAGTCAAATTGGATGCAAATATGAATTGCACTTTCACATTAAACATATAAATAAATGATATTTTACTGAATAAAGTTTTTTTACTTATTCTCGTACACAAGAAAATAAAGAAATCACTTAGATATAAATTTTGCATCTGAAATATATTATTTTCATATATCTTTTATGGCTAACAAGTATCTCTATTTATAAGAAAATTTGTATCGATTGGTGTGGAGAAATAATGTTTCATTTGATTCTAACATGAGCATTCGCGAACTATTGTATACCAATAGCAACAAATTTTTTTATGAAAAATTATGTTAATCTGATGGTTGCACCTTTTGACCACACACCCAATCATTATAAGGTCTCTAGTTTTATTTTAGATAGTTGCAACTTTTGACCATTTATTTTGTTAATTTAACCATTATTATTTATCAATTTAATATTTTGGAAATTTCTCCAACAATCCCCCACCATTTTCAAAATATATCTAAATCCATTATTCAGGAAATTTCATGGTTTTAGATAAAGGTATCTTACGACTTTAACAAATACTAAGTAAGTTAAGTTTTCACTCATCCCCGAATAGATTGGTAG